GAAGAGCGCCATCTTGGCTGTTCTCTGCAGCCTCTGAACTCAGTGGGACAGAACCACCCAGCTGGGCCCAGCAACCCAGAAAATCATGAGACATTACAAAAAGGGATTTATTTTCAGGCACTAAATTCTGGGGTGGTTTGTTACACAGTAAAGATCAATAAAACAGCATTAGGCAACCTTTGTGGAGTGCCTACCATGTCCCAGGCACTGGGAAACCTGGTCGTTTTTGTCTCTGGTTTGGGGGCCTGCCGGGAGCCTCTACCTTCCTGCCCCTGCAGTCTGACCCAGGCCTGGGCAGGAGGGTGCAGCACGGGGCGTCTCTCCAGAGATGGCATCAAGAGCAAGGTCTCATAGCTGGGTGGAGTTGAAAGAGGCGGGGTTCCAAGCAGGGCACCTCCTGAGGCACTGCTATGCAGGTCTTCCTCCAGGCGGTATTCAGGTGGTGGGGATGGCCCCTCCGCCAGGGGGCAGCACGTGTTCTCCTCGTATGTAGGGATGGCCTCCACCTTCGGGGGCCTGCAGGAGAAAGGCTGTTAGAGGGGCTCCAGAAGGAACTCACTGCATGCCAAGAAGACAGCAGGGAGGTCAGCCGGGGGAGGCTTCATGCTCTGGCCCAGCTCTTGCAGCCCCCAGTGCCCCCCACCAGGTGAAGCGCATGAGTGGTCCTGCCATGCCAGCCTCAGCTCTCCTACCCCGTGCCAGTTCCCCTCTGTGCCCACACTTTCTCAGGCCTCCTCAGCACTCTGCCAGGAAAGTTCTTCCCACCTTCCTCCCTGCAGCCCTGTTGGTCACTCCCCAGTCTTTGAGCCTCCACCAGGGAGCTTTCCTGGCCTGCCCCTCCTGAGCAACACTCCCCTACCTGCTCTGGGCTCCCACCCTGCTCTGCTCTGCTCTGCTCTGCTCTGCTCTGCTCTGCTCTGCTCTGCTCTGCTCTGCTCTGACACCGAACTGACCCTACCTGGCTGTGCCGTACGGCAAGGACTGATCTGAGTGTCCACAGGCTGAGGGCAAGCTTGGGGGTGTTTGTTGAAAGACTGAGTGATTGGGACCAGCAGTTGGCATAATGCCTATGTCGCTGGACTCCCATGTAGTCGACTGCAGTTGGAGTCCTGGACCCGGTGGCTTAAACACGCGCGCGTGTGCGTGCATGCCCAAAATCCCGAGAGGAGAATGGAGGAGAAGGGATTGCGGTGTGACCATCCCCCCTGGGGGTGATTTCTCGCTTTCTGTCTCTCTGTCTCTCTCTTTCTGGTGAGTGCACACACCCTATAGCAAAAACTTCTCAAAAAAAAAAAAAAGGAAAGAAAGAAAAGAAAGAAAAGACAGACAGACTGAGTGATGGTCCAGGGCCATGCAGCCAACGAACGGCCCTTACGAGATCGGCGCTGTGACGCCCATGGCAGGGAGAGTTAGCTCTGCTGCCCATCCTGCTCGAGGCCTGATGCAGAACAGCTGCCAAGTGCTCGTCTCTGCACACACACCTCCCGAGGTGGAAAGCTCACTACCGACCGAGCCAGCCACCTCTACCTCTGGATAACTGGCTTTCTTATGACTCTTGTCCCTGCCCCTGCCCCCTGGTTACTTGAATACCCCAAAGGGACCTGCAACAGAGACCAGGTCCTTTGAGGCTCCACTGACCAGGCTCCACAGGCTTGAGCCCAGAAGCAGGCCACCTGCACCCCAACCACACCCAGGCCAGTGGGGATAAGACACCCTCAGCTCTCTCAGGGCCTGGTGGGTCCGCCCCAAGGACGCCTGCCCCTGCCCCCCGCCCCTGGAGCAGAAGTGTCCCTGATCCCAGGTCTGGGCTGCACTGCTTCAGGGAGACTGCCACATATGGGGCTGACCCGCTGCTCTTGAGGGTCTCTGATACCGAGTCACTCGAGCTGGGCACACACCCGGGCACCTCCCGGTAGTAACTCCATTAACTGGGGCTGTGATTTCCCCATCTGTAAAATGGCAGATGCCCATTTTAATGACCCCTACCTCACAGGACAGCGTGACGCTGAGGTAACACTGGGAAGCCCTCGGCGTGCTCCATAGTGGTGGGTATCTACAAACTCTCAAATGTCTCCAACGAGAAAGGCATCGGAGGTGGGCGGCGGTCAAAATTCATCACCCTAAGGGTCTCCTTAGGGTAGGCCACACACAGGCACATGGGGCCTGTGTCACTTGCCCAGGGTTGTGAGTTTGAAGCGAGTAGGGAAACGGTTCAGTCCATACCAGTCCTGCTGTGTAGACCAGGAGGGGCTAGCCTAGGACAGCAGAGGGAGCAGCTGGGACTTAGCTGCAGGGCTGCCCAGGGGCACCCAGGCTGGGACCTGCTGCCCTTTGTGTGAACACCCGACATCCACCAGGGACATGGCTCTTCTCAGTCAGAGTGGCCCACCAGGGAGGCAGAGCTCTCACTCACAGGGTGACCAAGCAGGTCGATGTGAGTCGTGGTTTCAGACCCAGGCCTGAATGTCAGTGTGACACAGGGAACTAGCCAGGGTCACAGACTGAGGAAGCCGAGGGGACCTTCACCCTTCTCTGAGCTCCCGGCAAGCTTTGCTCCTGGAGGCCAGCTGGCCCGGCCCTGCGCACACCTTCTCGGAGTCCCCTTCTCGCTCCTGGAGGCCAGCTGGCCCGGCCCTGCGCCCACCTTCTCGGAGTCTCCTTCTCTTCTGTAGCAGGGGATGGTAATCCCCATTGCACGTATTCCGGGAGGGGAAGTGGAGAGCCGATGGTAATCCCCATTGCACGTATTCCGGGAGAGGAAGTGGAGAGCTCTAGCTGCACCCAGGAACCTGTGGCTAATAGGCTTCTAGAGCCCCTACCTCCTGCCCTGCTCACCTCGCACCATGCCCCTGCCCTCCCCCAGCTTCCTGGAGCCTGGCAGACATGAGACAGTTTTACTATGCCCAGTGCCACCTAGCAGGCAACAGCTGGCTGGGCAGGGCATGGGTAACTCAGCCCTCAGCAGGAAAAAAGGGACAGACGCAGCATAATCCTCACGCCACCACTTGCCACCCTCTTGGCTAGCTGTCCCACCCTGCCCTAAATCTCCAAGGTCATGAGAATGCCAGGAGCTCAGGAACACAAAGTCCCCTGCAGGGCCACTGTGTCACACACTACTGAGGAGAGGGTTCCATTCATGGGGTCCTCTGGACATGGTACCCCGCAGTTTTGGGGGTACCCTGCCACTATGATCTCCATGCACAGGAGGCTCCACCAAGGCCAGAGGCTCACCCCACCCTCTGGAGCCCGGTCAGGGCAGGAGACCAGGGCCTGGCACTGGCTCGCTGCCCGTCAGCCACGTCGGGCGGTGCGTGGGGGGAGGGGAAAGGCTGAAATACTGTTTGCCCACTGCTTGGGCTCAGTGATCTCACTTCATACTCATGACAACGCTGAGGGGTAACGGCTCTCACCCGGGTCACAGCCCAGTAAATGTCACACTTCAGCTTTCAATAAATGCAAAGCCCCAGCTTTGACTGCAAAGCTCAAGTTTCTCACCTCTTATCACGTCTCCTCTCGCCCCCAAGCCCCCTCATCTCCTCACACCCTGTTCTCTCACCTGCAAAATGGGCCTAATCTTTATGCTTAACTCATAAGCAGGTGCGTCTCAGATCATGAATGGGCACAAGAGTGTGTCGTAAACTTGAAAGAATAGCAGAGAACGCTTTGCGGTGTGAATGCGTCCCCACTGGCCCCTGGTCTGGGATTACAGCAATCACCCGGAAAAGGTCTTCAGCCCCAGCTGGTGCATGAGGAATCAGATGCAGCTGAGAAAATCTAAGAACCATAATCAAGGACACACAGCTTAAAAAAGAAAGGGTGGTGGGGCCAGCCCGTGGCTTGGTGGTGAAGGCGGCTGCATCTCATATGGCCAACTGCGCTGTCCAAGTCCTAGACCCGGCGGCTTGAAAAACACACTGGGCATGTGTGCATGTGTGTGCATGCCCAAAATCTCAAAAAGAGGGAGAAATGCAGAAGGGATTGCATGTTATTACGCCCCATGGGGGCTGTATTCTTACTTTCCCTCTGTCTCTGTCTCTCCAGTGAGCACGTGAGCAAGCCCTCTAGCAAACATGTTTTTAAAAAAAGAAAGAGCAGATGGGACTGGCAGTTAGCGTAATGGCTATGTCGCTGGACTCCCATGTAGTCGACCACGGTTTGCGTCCTGGACCCGGTGGCTTAAAACTCACACCGGGCGCGTGTGCGTGCGTGCCAAAGATCACGAGAGGAGAATGGAGGAGAAGGGATTGCGACATGGCCATCTCCTGTAGGGTGGGTGATTTCTCGCTTTCTGTCTCTCTGTCTCTGTCTATCTGGCGAGCGCATGCACCCCATAGCAAAAAAAAAAAAAAAAAACTCTTCAAAAAAAAAGAAAGGGCAGAGACAGAAACCCTCATCTTTTGAAGGGGCTTTTTCTGCCATCTGCATTGAAGGTGGAGCCCCCTGGGAGGCCCCATGTCTAACCCCCTCAGCTAGAGGCTGACGTTTAGGTCGTGAGCTTCCGGAGGACAGCAGGTTTGTTTTGCCCACCACTATGTCATCAGTCCTCTGAATAGGACACAGCACATAGTAGGTGCTCAGTCAATGTCAAAGGCACAAAAGAAGGGTGGAGGGTGGGAACCTGCTCACATCATTAGCCTAGGAGGCCTTTGTTCCTGACCTGAGTTTCCCCAGCCAAGTATGCCCAGAGAGGGCAGTGCCTGGGCACAGGAATGGCCTCTCCTGGAGGCCAGATGCTGGGCTCCGCAGCAGCAGGGCTGGGCTGCATTCTGTGACAGGAAAGGCCACCACTAGCAGAAGCAGCCAGCTGACACCAGCACCCCAGTTCCTGACTCTCAGACCAGGGTCCCAGAGCCTGCGGGCTAGAAGTGCCCTGAGGTCTCCCACATGGGCTTCCTGCCTGCACAGACCAGCTGCAGCTCAGACCCTGTTGCACCAACGTGGCTGTGTGTACCAACAACACCCACCCCTGTGCTCCTGCCAGGCTGGGCGGGGAGGAGCGGGCTCCGGCCCACATGTCCTGAGGCCTGGCCAGCTTCCAAGCCAGCTTCCAACTAACTGCAAACGTGCCGACTGGGCACTTGCTGTTTCTCAGACCAGGCTCATCTGAAAAGTGAAGGCTTCGGCTGGAGAGTCCCAAAGGCCCTGGCCTTCCCTCCACCAGTTGGTACAACCAAGGTCTGACTGCTGGACTAAGAGACCTCGGTGGGATACCCTGTCTTCTAGCCTCTAAGGGGTGTTAGCAGGCAAACTCAGACATCTTTTAACTGGGAATGCATTGTCCCTCTAATGAAAGGAAAAAGGGACCAGGCCAGCTCACAGGCTGTCAGCCCCTAACGCACCGAATGCAGCAGGAGGGCAGGGAGGAAACCCCAGGCTCATGGCCAACAGGCTGCTGCCCGCTCCTAGCTGGGGAGCCTCATCTTCCTCCACTGCAGGTGGCAACAGCGATGCTCGCTCGGACACCAGAAGGACTGCAGACACCCATAGCCCCCAGCATGGAGGCTGCTCCAGGCTCGACTGAAAAGAAAGGTCAAGATGTGCTCTCCACAGGGCAAAAAATGACTTTTGGACAGGGGCAGTGTTCTTCGTGTGTATAAAGCACAGAGAATCGGTGCCGTTCAAGTCTCATGGAGAGGATTAAGGGGAAATGCTTAATGAGGCTGGGAGAGAGGGAGCAGATCATGGAAAAAGGGTACAAAACACAGTTGGGGTACGTAGCCTCCCTCCACGGCCCGTGCCTTTGCACATGCTCTGGGCCTGCCTGAGTGGCTCTCTCCACTTCCACCCTCCGCCCCACCGTGCCTTTGCGCATGCTCTGGGCCTGCCTGAGTGGCTCTCTCCACTTCCACCCTCCGCCCCACCGTGCCTTTGCGCATGCTCTGGGCCTGCCTGAGTGGCTCTCTCCACTTCCACCCTCCGCCCCACCGTGCCTTTGCGCATGCTCTGGGCCTGCCTGAGTGGCTCTCTCTGCCTTGACCCATTGGGGAAAGGGTGACATTTTCTGTGTGTAGGCACTGGCCTAACTTTCACATGTGCATCATTTCGTTTTCACCTCCCAGGTGTACCCTGCGGCAGGGAGTGGGTGGGAGCATAGACTTTGGGGCCAGACTGCCCGAGTTCAAGCCCTGGTTCTGACACACTAGCTGAATGTACTTTGGTCAGTTACTTAATGTCTCTGTGCCTCAGTTTCCTCCTCTCTAACTAGAGTTAATGATGGTTCCTACTTCGGAGGGCTGCTGTAAGGATTAAATGAGTAAATACATAGAAAGTGCTTCGACCAGTGCCTGGCACATGGCCAATACCACATAGGGGCTTGCTGTCATTGCATTAGTCCTGTTCTGTTGCAGATGAGAAAGCTGAGGTTTAGAAGGGTTACAAGACCTACTTGAAGTCCCACCGCTAGTTAGTGGTAGGACCAGCAGAGGAGTGGGTTTGACTCCCTGCTATTCCGCCCCATATCATGTTGTACTTTCCTGCTATTTTCTCCAGGAAGCCTTCCTGGATTTCTCCAAGTCTCTAAATGACCATGTCCCAGCTCTGCTTTATCATGATCCATTTCTGTCACAGAGATCTAAACTCCTTCAGTCAGGGCTACCCTGTTCAGCTTCCATGTCCCCAGGGGCAGGGCTGGTCCAGAGGAGGAAACCCATGGGAGTTTGCTGAACAAACGCCAGATGGTGTGGCTGGGTCCCCACCCGCTGCCCCCACTGCCCTACTCACCCCCAGCTCTCTTTCTCTGCAGACTCCACAGTGAGGTAGTACAGGTCTCTGGAGAGGTGGTAAGGGTCCCATCGGGGTGGTGTTCGGGTGCCGGCCTTAACAGACCACAGCAGGCCAAGGAACAGCAGCAGGCCGCCTGTGCCACAGCAGAAGAAGCTGACTGACCGGAGCAGGAGCCTGGGGGCCTCGGGTACAGGGTGCTCGGTCGGTGGGGCCAGCTGGCCGAGCTGGGCACCGGCATCGCCTTCGCTCCACCAGGCGAAACAGAGTGTCCCGGCCACCAGTACCACTGTGCCACTGACCATCATGCAGTAGCGGAGGGTAGAGGCCACACGGTCCCCACCACACGTCTGGACACAGAGGAGAGAGAAAAGGAGACCCGGGTTTTAGTCCTCTTCTGCCTGAGGTCACCGCAGCCTGGGAGAAGCCGTCTGACTGCTCGGCACCCGGCTTTCCTCATCTGTGAAGTGGAGACACTGCCCTGACCTTGCAGGACTCTCAAAGGTCACGGACACTGCTTGTCAGATGCCTACACCATCCCTGGGCACAGCAGGGGCTAAGCCTACTGGGTCCCCTCTGGGCTGCTTTCCAGAACTCAGGGCCTTAATCTGCCTGGTGGGGTTAGGACTCCTCTGGGAAGGAGGAGAGCAGACGCTGCCGCGACACCACGCCGTAGGATCAGGGCTGGACGGACACCAGGCCGCGGGATCAGGGCTGACTGGTTACGCACTGCCTGTCTTCACAGGACTCAGTCCCGAGAGCTCCACGCCGTCACCTCCATTTGACAGAGGAGGAAATCCCTTTCAAATGGAGTGTGCCCAGGTGTATGTGAGGCATCCAAGCAGTGCCTGCTTCACCCCTTCCCAAGGGGTGAAAGGGCGCATGTGTGCAAGACACGTAAGTGGAACTTCACATTTCAAAATGGCAGTTTCTCAAATGTGTTGAAAACCACGTGTGTGTACGTATCTGTATGTGTAAGAGAGGATGTGTACATTTAAAAGGGGTACTCTGGGAGGGGACCCCGATAGTGCTGAACCCCCAGACTACAGGAAACACACAGAAATGCCATTTGTAAATCACCTGAATTCTCTTCCTGTAACTCTGTCTTGGGAGCAAGTGCCTCCTATCTCAGCTCAAGGCATTTTCACAGCCCGAAAAAGAGCCCGACCAGGGCCAGCTGGTGGCCTGGTGGCTAAGGCACTGGAACCCACATGGCCAGCTGCACAGTTAGAGTCCCAGACTCAGTGGCCTGAAATCACACCAGGCACTTGTGTGTGCATGCCCAGAATCCTGACAGGAGGACAGAGGGCCACACGGTCCCCACCACACGTCTGGACACAGAGGAGAGAGAAAAGGAGACCCGGGTTTTAGTCCTCTTCTGCCTGAGGTCACCGCAGCCTGGGAGAAGCCGTCTGACTGCTCGGCACCCGGCTTTCCTCATCTGTGAAGTGGAGACACTGCCCTGACCTTGCAGGACTCTCAAAGGTCACGGACACTGCTTGTCAGATGCCTACACCATCCCTGGGCACAGCAGGGGCTAAGCCTACTGGGTCCCCTCTGGGCTGCTTTCCAGAACTCAGGGCCTTAATCTGCCTGGTGGGGTTAGGACTCCTCTGGGAAGGAGGAGAGCAGACGCTGCCGGGACACCACGCCGTAGGATCAGGGCTGGACGGACACCAGGCCGCGGGATCAGGGCTGACTGGTTACGCACTGCCTGTCTTCACAGGACTCAGTCCCGAGAGCTCCACGCCGTCACCTCCATTTGACAGAGGAGGAAATCCCTTTCAAATGGAGTGTGCCCAGGTGTATGTGAGGCATCCAAGCAGTGCCTGCTTCACCCCTTCCCAAGGGGTGAAAGGGCGCATGTGTGCAAGACACGTAAGTGGAACTTCACATTTCAAAATGGCAGTTTCTCAAATGTGTTGAAAACCACGTGTGTGTACGTATCTGTATGTGTAAGAGAGGATGTGTACATTTAAAAGGGGTACTCTGGGAGGGGACCCCGATAGTGCTGAACCCCCAGACTACAGGAAACACACAGAAATGCCATTTGTAAATCACCTGAATTCTCTTCCTGTAACTCTGTCTTGGGAGCAAGTGCCTCCTATCTCAGCTCAAGGCATTTTCACAGCCCGAAAAAGAGCCCGACCAGGGCCAGCTGGTGGCCTGGTGGCTAAGGCACTGGAACCCACATGGCCAGCTGCACAGTTAGAGTCCCAGACTCAGTGGCCTGAAATCACACCAGGCACTTGTGTGTGCATGCCCAGAATCCTGACAGGAGGACAGAGGAGAAGGGATTGTGGCATGGTCATCGCCCCAGAACTGTTTTCTCGCTTTCCCTCTCTTGCACTCACTCTTTTGTGAACACACGTGCCCTATATCAAAAAATCTAAAAAGAAAGAAAGGAGAGTCTGACAACTCCTCCCCAGCCAGATAGCCAGGGGGCTATCAGGAGGGAGATCAGCAGAACCAAGAGGGGAAACCCGCCAGCAGAGGAAGCTGACTGTCCGGAGCAGGAGCAGCACGTCCAGAATTGTGACCCCCTTGCCTGTCCGGACGCACTTGAGAGCCCCCCTCACCAGCGTCTGGTCTGAGTCCTGCAGCCAAGTCATGGGCAGGGCAGAGAAAAGGGCCCATTTCACCAGTGAGGAGACGAAGCCCCAAGCCTTGAAGCTCCTTGCCCAAAGCCAGATACAGCGAAGTCCTCAACAACAGAGGAACTCACACCTGGGCACGTCCGCATGCGGTAACCTAACAATTGTCTCTTTTCTTTTCTTTTCGTTTCTTTTCTTTTCTTTTCTTTTTCTTTTCTTTCTTTTCTTTCTCTCTCTTTCTTTTCCTTCCTTCCTTCTTTCTCCCTTCCTTTCTTTTTCTTTCTTCCTTCCTTCCTTTCTTTCTTTCCTTCTTTCTTTCTTTCTTTTTTACTTAGCTAGAGGGTGTGTGCACCTGCTAGGGAGAGAGGAGAGAGAATAAAAGTACCCCTGAGCTGGGGGACGGCCACGCTGCACTCCCTTCTCCATCCTCCTCTTGGGATTTTGGGCATGCACACAAACATGCACACACACATGCCCCGTGTGCTTATCAAACTGCCAGATCCAGGACTTCAGCTGCACAGTTGATCATGTGGAATCCAGCCCCCATAACCACCGTGCCACTGGGTGCCTAATGCTTGGCGCTTTCTTTCTCTTTACTTAATTTTTTTGAGAGATTTTTGCTATAGGGCATATGTGCTCACCAAAGAGACAGAGAGACAGAAAGTGAGAAATCACCCACTCCCAGGGGGGTTAGACATGCTGCGATCCCTTCTCCTCCATTCTCCTCTTGGGAATTTGGGCATGCACGCAGACATGCACGGCGTGAGCTTCCATCCTCCAGGTCTGGGACTAGAACTGCAGTCGGCCATGAGGGAGTCCAGCACTGTAACCATTACACCATCTGCTAGTCCCACTTGTTGCTTTCTATTGAAATACTAGTTGTTCGTTGCGGGGAAAGGAGAGAGGCATGGGGTGAAAGCGCGTAATTGGAACCATCACTCATCTGCCCCTCGGCTGTCACAGGCATGTTCCCTGTCCATCTCTCCCTCGGCCTGCACACATGATGACGGGGCAGTGGATGCACGCTGGGCGCGTACCAGCTTGACCACTCTGCCAAGCACTCTACAGGTGTTCCTCACTTGATCCTCAAACAGTTATGTCCCAGGAGCCTGGGGTGACAGCTCGTCCGATGTTAGTGCTACCCACACTTGGGCATAGGCCTCATCTGGCTCGAGCCCCTTTGTGAGTGCACCACCCATGGTTGAGACCAGGCTATGGCACGCCGGTCTGTGGGTCTTGGGCACAGGCAGCTCTCACCTCCTCCTCCCTGGCTTAACTCATCCACATGGCCGGCAGGGCACACCTAACCTGCCACGAGGGGCCATCGATGTCCACTGAGTGAAGGACAGCCTATTCCGTTGTGCAGTGGCGACTTCCCCCATTGACAGATCAGGGCCCCCCCGAGACTCCCCAGACCCACTTCACAGAGGTGGTCTTCGGGAGCTTCCTCACCCTCACTCTGTGCACCTCCGACCCTGGACCCTGCTGGGGAAGGATGGAAAGGCTCCCTGCCCTGGAGGGCACAAGCCCAGAGCAGAGCAGGGAGCTTCTCTGATCCCAACCCCTCAGCCTGGCTCTGCCTCCACCACCCCTGCTCCCTCATACCCCTCTCCCACTCTCACCCAAACCCCTGTCTCCTAGAAGCCTCCTCTAGACCGGTTGCTCCCATTCAGGGCCCTCATCTCACCCGCGTTCAAGTCCCAGCTCAAAACCATCCCTGCTCTGCCACTGCCAGCCAGGGCATGCCTTCCCTGATCAGCGGGCTCCATCTACCACTCCCCCTGACTACGGCCTTTCCTTCTCTTAGTTCCGTGACCTTGGGCAGCTGCACGACACCTCAGCTCCAACTCGGAAGCAGCTTATGAAGATGAGATGGCAAGACAGGGACACAGCTGGACAGAGGTGGTCCTGGCTCTGGCATGGGCGAGGACCTAGCTTCTCCAAGCTGTTGTGCCCTCTCTGTGAAATGGGCACGACGCTATGCTGCCTGAGAGGGGTAAACTGTACGGACATCTGCCCTCCTATGGTTAGGGTTTCATTCCAGAGCAGCACGTCCAGCTGCCCCCACCCTCTGTCTTGTCCCACTTGTCCCCCAGAAACAGGGCCAGCCTGAATCAAGTTCTGCCCCTGGCGAGGAGGCAGGGTACTCTGTAAAAGTTCGAAGGTAGAAAGACCCTGCTCCTGAGCCAGACGAGGTCAGGATCCCACAGGCTGACAGCCTGGTTCGAGTCCTGGACCCAGTGGCTTGAAAAATGTGCCAAGCACGTGTGCAAGCGTGCCCAAAATCCCGAGAGGAGACTGAGGAAGGGATTATGGTGTGGCTATAACCCTTGTGTGTGTGTGTGTGTGTGGGGGGGGTTCTTTCTCACTTTCTCTCTCTGTTTTTCTTTGGTGAAGACATGTGCCCTACGGCAAATTTAAAAAAGAAAAAGAAAGAAAACATGCCAGGTGCAGGTGTGTGTGTGCCCAAAATCCTGAAAAGAAAAGCGGAAAAGGGATAGTGGAGTAACCACCCCCCACAGGAGGGTGCTCGCTCACTTTCACTTTCTCTTTGTCTCTCTGTCTCTCTGTCTTTCTCCTGCGAATACTGCTATCCTCTGGCAAATTTTTAAAAAAGAAAGGAAAAAAAGATTTGTTCCCCGCAGAGCCGAGGAAGAAGCAACTTCCCTGCTGCACCCAGAACCACACACAGCCAGGAACGAAAGGCAGTGCGCTGGCCTACTGGGTGCTGCTAATTAAGGGTGCTCAGGGTCCCCAGCCACCTAAAGAAGAAACGTTCGGACAAGTGGCGGAAATCACCCGCATCTATCAGACGGGAAACTGAGGCCGAGAGCCGTGACCAGAGAACATCTTGGAAGTGGGAAAGCAGGAAGAGACCCCTGTGCCCAGACTCCACCCAGCAAGGCACCGAGGTCAAGGTTAAGGGAAGGGGTCCAAGCGGTTGGCTTGAGAAGCAACCGCGCTCGAGGGAAAGGGGGCGCTACACCCACCTCCGGCGCAGCCATCAGGCGGTCAGGCGCGGGAGCCACGCAAGCCCGCCGGCAGCGGTCGCTCGGGTCTGCAGAAGCCCCCGGAGTTTGGGTGGCCCTGGCCGCTGCCTCTAGCCCCGCTCTCCGCGCCCACAAAAGTGCTCCGAGGTCGCGATCCCAGTTGGCCCAGGGCTCTCGCCTGCCTGTGACCTGCCAGCTGTGTCGTCGGTCCGACCGGTCTGCTCCCGCTGCCTCCACCCGGTGCGGGAGGGAAGCCAAGCCGGCTTCGCCCAGTAGGGGCTCTGCAGCCTTGGTGGGCGCTAACCAGGGCGTCCAAGGTCGCGCCAAGCCCTGGTTATGTCCCGGACTCCGGAGGTGACCACTTGGGGCCCGGGCTTGGCCGACTGTGCTAGCTCCGGAGCTTGGGCTCACAGGCTGTGTCCGTGTCCTCGTCCTTGGCCTCCAGTTGGCCTCCCTGAGTCTCCAGACTCCCTGATACCCCAGCGTGGAGGGCAGCTCCAGGTGTCAAGTAGTCCAGCCGGCTCCACCCCATCTTAAAGTGACAGTGCGACTGGGCAGGCAGGGAAGGAGGACATGGGACAGGCGGGGGAGAGGGGAGGGGAGGGGTGGAAGTGGGGATGTGAGAGCTTCGGGGATGCTGCTGACCCGAGCGGCCCTGGAACTGTCCGGCACTGGGAACCATCGGGTTCAAATCAGCACCAGGTCCCTGGTCCTCCTGTGCAGGAACCCTTGTTGTCCTTGGGGCCACCCGACTCAACAGCACTGTGGAGGGTTATGCAGGCAAACTCCCAGAGCCTTCCAGGCTGGAAAGGGCTCCAGAAGCCCCAGCCCAGGCCTCCTCACTCTCACTTTACAGAAAGGAAAACTGAGGCCTAAAGAAATTAAGGCACAGCCTAGTGTGTACCGCATCCTGCGTTATTGCCTAACTCGCTCTTTCTTCTGGCGCCTGTCACAGCTCCTGGGCCCTCTGAGACCCCTGTAGCCTGGCCAGGAAGCATTCTCAGTAATCATGATGCATTTAAGACCCCACGCCCCAGCCTGGAGGTCACTGCCACAGCCAGTGAGAGCTGGGGACAGAGGGCTGGGGAGTGCACCTCCCACCTGCTGGGTGACCTGACTTCTTGAACCTTCTTCAAGCTGTCAGAGGAGGGTGGACACTCCCCCCCAGGGTTGTGAGCACAGGGGCTGAGCCTGCAGGTGAAGTCGCTGGTACAGGCAGATGATTCAGGAGCCCAGAGGAAGGGTAAGCCATGTGTGGTGTGTGTGTGTGTGTGTGTGTGTGTGTGGTGTGTGTGTGTGTGCGCACGCGCGCTAGCCTTCCTCTGGGGAGGACACTGCAGGAGCGGCTGCTGGAGGGCAGGACTAAGTCACAGGCTGGTTACATCTTGACAAGTTCCCGTGGGTCCGAGGGAGCCGCTTCTGGGAGCCACTGGGACCTGGGTCGTTTTCGCCTTTTCTTACCGCTCCCACAGCCAGGTCGCCCTCAACCATGGCCCAGGAGTCCCCAATGAGCTGCCAGTGACCAGCTGTCCTCCCAGCCCAGGAAGGTCAGAGCAGCCTGCCCAGTGGGGACCTGGAGCTCAGACAGGGAAGGCCACTAGCTCAGAGTCACAGAGCAGGTCGTGGCAGGGTCCAGCACCCTCTTCTCATACCCCTGGTTCTCAGAAAGAACTCTGCCCAAGAGCGTCAGGGTTCTTTGAGCTCTGACTTCCCGACCGCTGAGATCTTTGTCCTCATGAGCTCTTTCATCTTGGTTGTGCGTGTGGTCTGTGTAAATGTCCCCATTTACAGCAGGAAACCGAGACTTGGCGAGGGGCAAAGGCCTGCAAGGCTGCGGAGATCCACGTGGCTCAGCGGAGGCAGAGATCAGGCACGCCTCCTCTCTTCTGCTCTGCTCAGTCTGGAGGTGGAGACGACCTGCTCCTGGACCAAAGGCCACTAGCAGCCCTGTCGGTGCCCTGGGCTCAGGGGAGGTGAGAGTGGGGAGCAGGTTTCAGACATGTCATGTCTGCAGGGGCAGCATCCGTGTGGGCACAGGCTCCTCACAGATCAAGGTGGACCCTCCCCTCTGGCCTATAGTCCCAGAGGTGAGACACAGGTTGATGAGGCTGCAGTCCAGGCCTGGGTGGGCGGTGTTGCCCGCACAGCCCTCCGGCCCAGAGTAGACCTGAGTGCCCTGGCCCAGGCGGTAAAGTCAGTTCCTGGAGCTGGACACTGTGGGATTTCTGTCCTGTTTCTGACACTCCAGGACCTGGTGCAACCTCTTTAAACTGCAGTTTTCTTATCCATAAAATAGATACAATGGCCCCTCCTCCCCAAAGTAGCTATTAGGGTTTATAAGGCCTTACCCCTATGAAGGTGGCTTGGGGACACACTCGCATGACACAGCGACTGTATTTGTGACTCTCCTCTGGTCAGTGACCACCGTAAAGGTAGGGACCAGGTGTGCCTTGGCTCATGCACAGCACAGTGGGACAGGGGGCGCTGGGACTTGGTACTGATTGGACCTCAGGATCCGGCCCCATTCTGGCTCTGTCCCCATTCTGGCTCTGTCTTCCTCTCTCCCTGCTCCCCTCCCCAGCTGTCAGGTCTTCCCTGATGTCCAGCCCTGATGCCATGCCCCACAGCCTGGGGGCACCTCCACTACTTCTCTGAACAAGCAGCCTCCAACTTTCCCTGGTGCCAGTGGGCAGACGCAGAGCAGAAAATTGCTCAGTAGCTTATGCCTCAAGGGGCTAATGGGGAAGGCCACCACTTGCATCGCTTATGACATGTCACCAGCCAGATGCTTTCCCACTGCCTCCGCCCTCAGCTAAGTCATGCGGGCTTGGCAAGAAGTACCTTGTCCAGGGCTCACAGCCAAGAGACAAGCGGTGAAGTCCACGCTGGTTTGAATATTCCTTGAAAACGTCTGCAGGGGCAGCATCCGTGTGGGCACAGTCTCCTCACTGATCAAGGTGGACCCTCCCTGCCTGGCCTGTAGTCCCAGAGGTGAGACCCATCTGCACGTTCCCATTTTTGCCACCGTGTGCCCTCTTCAGCTACAGCCTGGGCTGCTGCAGTGGCCTCCCACTGACCTCCCTGCTCCCAAGGCACCTGCTCTTCGTGGGACACCAGCCTGCGCTTCTGCACCCTAACCGAATCAGTTCCTCGCCTGCCTAGGCCTTTCAGTGGCTCCCCATGGCCTTCAGCCTAATGAACCCAGCTCCTGAGTAGCCCTGCTCCTGTGACCTGGCCACCTCCCAGCCTCATTTCCTGGGTTCCCCACCATCACTCTTGAACTCACTGTTCGCAGTGTCCAGGGTACAAGGCCACACCTTATCCACACAGGTCCTTCCTTCCCAGCAGCTTTCCCTGTGATCTCGTGCACTTCTCTTAGAACTGAGGTCACAGGGTACCTTCGCAGGCGACTTCCCTTTAACATCCCAAACCAGACCGATCTGGTCCCTCTTCTAGGCTCCTACAGGACTTTGCAGACCCATCCGTGATAGTGCACTGACAAAAATAAAACTGCACGCCTCCTTCTCTTCCAGTAAAAGCAATAGCTAGACATTTCAGGCCATTTGGAAAATCAGTAAGTGAAAAGGAATCAGAGTATCCTCCTTTACAGATAAAGAAAGGCAGCTGCCCGTCTCATGTTTTCAGATACTGGAGTCTCATTCCTACAAGGTGAGAAAAACGTTTCCCTAAATGCAGCCAGCTTGGAGAAACAAAAAAATAAGTGCAGGGGGCCGGCAGGTGGCGTGGTCGTTAAGGACACTAGACTCCCACGTGGCCAACTGCAGTTTGAGTCCTGGACCTGTCAGCTTGCTCTCTCACTCCTCTCTCTCTCTCTCTCTCTGTCCCTCTCTGGTCAGCTTTAAATAAATAAATAAAGTTAAATAAAATAATTATTTTTTAAAAAGAAAGACGTGCAGGAATCAGGTAGGCCCATTGGGTTGCTTGTGAGTATGAAATGAGTTAGTGTGTAAAGTGCTTTCGACAGTGTCTGGCCCATTGTGAGTGCTCAGGAATGTTATTAGGTTATTGGGAAAGTCCTGATGCAGTTTTCTATGCAAAAATGTATCATGACTTTCCTGACAACCTAATAGCTTCTTTTTTTTTTTTAAAGGTGACCGCAATGTTCCAACTTAATCTTCTCTTATTTCTTCTTCCTTTTTTTAAAGTTTATTTATTTCTTTCATGAGAAAGAGAGGCACCTCAACTGTCTTCATGCCATGATCCACCCCCGGACTCAGCCAGTCAATATCCTGGGTGCGCGTGCCTGGCATGTGCAAGGAGACTTTATGATGTGACCCTGAGACCTTCCAGGGTGGCTTCAGAATTGGAAGCATCACATTCCTGACCCACCACTGTTTTGGTTTGTTTGTTTGTTTTTTAATTCCAGGATGCACATGGCATGAGACAGAGAGAGAAAGTAGCCCCCAGTGGGGCTTATCACTCTGCAGCCCTTTTTCCTCCAATTCTTCATCCCATCAAAAATCCAAAGTACCAAGTGCCAGGCATGTTTTCGAAGCCAATAGAGCCAGGACCCAAACCCAGGTGGCCATGTGGGATCTGGCTTCCTCTGCACAGCCCCTAAGTTCTGTGCCATGGGGCCGGTCCCCTTCCCTCTTACTAACCTGTAAACAGAAGAGACGTAATGAGAAAATTCCCATTCTTAGAAAAGCATCCTCTCTCCCTCCCTCACCCCCTGCCTCCAGAATAGGGATCTAGTGTCTTTTTCCAGGGACTTGAGACTTGCCACCATCCTGAGACAACCAACCACTGTAACCTTTTGATGTAAATCTTTCCAAATTTGTATATTTCACAAAAATCCGATCATGCTCTTCACGCCATTTTTGTCATTGAACACGGTCTGTCGTGAGCCTCTTTCCATCTCTCGCTGCGTTCTAATTGCTTGCTGACATACCTGCCTCCCGCTGACGGCACCTTGAGGGCAGGTACCGATATCGCACGCCCTTTCCACCCCCCTCACCCCACACCATGCCATCTCATGACGCATTGCGGGCCAGCTGGTAGAGAGGTAGTTAAGTCAGCTCGATCCCACATGGCTGACTGTGTGGTTCAAGTCCCAGACCCAGCCTGTAAAACACACTGGGCACATGTGCATGCATGCCCGGAATCCCCAAAGGAGAGATGAAGGAAAGAGACTGGCAGGACCATCCCCCATGAGGAATACTTTCTCACCTTTTTTTTTTTTTTTTTTTTTAGTTTTACTATAAGGTACACGTACTCCCAGAGAAAGAGAAAATGAGAAATCACTCCGTAGGGAGATGGTCAAACCTAATCACTCCTCCTCCTTTCTCCTCTCAGGATTTTGGGCTTGTACACACACACACACACACACACACACACTCACCTAGTATGTTTTTTGAACTGCCAGGTCCAGGACATGAACTGCTCAGTGGGCCATGTGGGATCCAGCTGCCTTAACCTCCACACACTGGCTAGCCCACTTTCCTTCT